AGTCTGCAGTTACAGGCACACAGATTATTCACAGCAATCTGTGAATCAGTTCAGAGTAATGTTTATAAGATTATCCCATGCTTCTGCCATGGTCAGCTCCAATATATGTAATTTAAATGCTTGGAAAGTAGATAACAATCTTTATCGAAAACCAGAACCAACATTTGTCATAACGTTCCAGAATTGGCATCTGCCATGGACAACTTGAGCCACTAGAAGGCTGCACTATACCCTTTTTTTCGTATGAAGAACAGCCAAAAGGAAAATAATCTAGCTACACTGAATAGTTGCAGGGAGCATGCAATTGGGTAATTCGTTTTTCTGTGATGCTGGTAAAAACTTCTCCAGAACTACTTATTTGAAAGCGAGCATATGCCTTTCGAACAAAAACAAACTAATTAAAGATACTTATCTTTTTCTTTTGCTGGTTGAAATTGTCAATGATTACACCAATAAAGAGATTGAGAGTGAAGAATGCCCCAAAGATAATAAATATGACAAAATAGATATACATGTAGAGATTCACTTCATACTGAGGCTGTTCCTCTTGCTGTAAAAGCAAAGGAAGAAATGAACCCTTTGTTAATTCCTCCGTGAAAGCTTCAGAAGAGGAAAAGCAACACTGTGTTTCAAATTACCTCACGGGAGTCAACAGCTGCATACATGATGTCCATCCAGCCCTTGAAAGTGGCCTACAAGGAAGAATAATGCAGGACATATTCATTTTGATTGAGAATAGAGGACTCTGAATTTGTAAAAACATATATAAATTTGTAGCCCAGAGCAGGTACCTCAGGTTAGAAGTTACATCTTTCATTCTCATTTTCTAAACTTTTTAGGAAAAAATAATAAAAAATAGAATTGCCTTGTGAAAAACAATAAGAAAGGATGAGGACCGCCATGTTTATTTAATCATACAACTGGCTTTGTTAAAATGGTGAGAGAAAGGAGATGATATCTTATTAGAGTGTTCCTTTTAATGAAAATTAGAATCACCTACTAATCTATATTAATTGAGCAGGTCCAGAAAGAACAAATATGTTTGTTCTGAATAATTCGGCTTAGTTTGTAAAGAACGAATGGAGAAGAGGAAACATAATAGAATAGTATATGCTTACATCAGCAGGTAATTTCTTCATAAAAACAAATGAAAGTAGAAACTCATCTCCATTGGATTGAAATTATCTTTCCTCTACAGTGTAACTGGCTGGAACTCATTTCTGAATGTGAACCCTTCGTGATAGTGATTGATAGGACAGGACTGGGGGAATAGATGAGCCAAAGTGTTTTGAATACTGGTAGTTTCAATGAGGGTAAAGAGTAAACACCATCACTTCTATTTCCCCCCAAGAACTCCAGTATGTAGAAATAAAAACATATTTGGAAGGCTGGGTTTTCTCCCGATCACACAAGCAGAGAAAGTTTAGTTTGGTTCAAGAGAAATTAGGGGAAGATAGTTTAGACCAGGAGAAAATGTGGGAAATTAATAGGAAAAAATATAAAATAAGGAGAGATAGTCACAGGGATCACCAAAATTAATCTTAAAGCATCCTTACACTGATCACACCAAACAATTGGTGATTGTTAGATCATGGGTGTCATACTCAAGGAGGTGGTCAGATTAAGCCGATGGGGCCATCTTGGAAATGGTAAGGGGCCGGCCATGTAACTTCAACCAGACTATCCAATCCCAGGAGGTGCACGCGCGCACAGGAGGTAGGCGCATGCGTGTGTGCTGGGATAGGGCAAGCTAGGCCTGTGCACGCATGTGCCCACCGCCTCCTTTGTGCATGCGTATCTGCTGGATAGTGCGGGCCAGGCCAAAATGACAAGCATGTCCACCAGGATCAGGTGGGCTGGATCAAAGAGACACGGGCCAGTCCCCTACCATTTCCAGGATGACCATGCTTACCGAACTTTCAGGTGTGTTTGCATAGAGGGGGAGGTGTCTAACATCAGGGGCTCCACAGCTGGCCCTGCAGGAAGCTTCAGCCAGGCCCATTCTATCACAGCAGGCACGCAGGTGTCAGCGGCCGCAGGAGCATACAGGCCTGGCCCATGCCATCCCGCAGGCACGCAGGCACACAGGAAGCTGCTAGGAAGGCGGGGGTGGGACCTGCGCATGCAAGCACTTGCTGATTTCTGCACACAGATGTGCATGCCAACTCCTGTGCATACATGTGCACACAGACTCCTCCCCGCCACCAGCCCACATAGGACAACTAGAATGCTGATCCACCCTGCAAAGAAATAGAGTTTGACACCCCTGTCCTAGATAATTCTACAGACCAGTCTGCTGATAAAAATAAGGCATTCTCATCAAATCAGTCAAGCTGAAAGTTAGTAAGGACACTATTAATTTGGAATGCAGGGCTGATTGAGATTACAGCATATCAAAACATAGAAAACTCTCTCAGACAAAAGTGATCTTATAGTGAAATATTGGTGAACTGTTTTTTCAAAACCCAAAAGACAAAGAATTGAATCGGGCTAATCAAAGCAATATTTTAATGTTTGCGTACAAAGCAATATTTTAATGTTTTGTAATGTCTCTTTTGACATTAGAAAATCTACTAAAATGAATGCCATTGCAATAAAAAGCTTTCATTCCCTCTCTCTGCACATCCAGATCAACTTGCTCTTTTTCCTCTGGAGTGTCTTTCTTAGGCCCAGGCATTCTAAACACTGGACTGAACTAAGAACGGGTCACAATAATCTGGGTCGAAACTATGTTTTCCTTCCTGGAAGAAATAATCTTTTTGGCTAAGGTTAAATAGGTCAAAGAGCAGTTTTTACCAATGCTTTAGTTGGCAGGTTTCATGTGAGCCTCTATATAAGAAAGACAGGTTTCAGCTAAAATAGAACATTTCCTAAGGGGAAGCATGCTTACTTACCACTTGCAAAAGGGAGAGATAGCCTAAGCCCACATTGTCAAAATTGACTTTGACATTGACCCAACGGACATCAGTGGCATTTTCAACATTGATAAGATTGATGCAATCACTTTTGTTGTTTACATGTTCAATTTCAAAGAGATCACCTGTGGTGGTATTGACACAACGATAGTACTTCCCTGCAAAGAGGTTCACCCCCATAATGCTGAAGATGAGCCAGAAGATCAGGCATACCAAGAGGACGTTCATAATGGAGGGGATGGCCCCCAAAAGAGCATTTACAACCACCTAGTATCAAGAGAAAGAATCTACTCAGGATTTAATAAAAGTAAATCAACTTCAAACCTTTTTACAAATTCAGAATATGGCCTGTTCAAAAGGGTTTTTTTGGTTTATGTTCTCGATTAGCTTGGAGAAGAGAATTCAAGTTAAATTTATACTAGTGCAGAAATGGCAGTAAGATAGAACATTGACTATAGACACTTCACAATTATTGGCAATCTGTGGGTTCACTTGCTATAGATAATTCTGAGATACCAGTAGTCTATATCTATATATAAAGCAAGAATCAACAGAACTTCTTCCTAAAGGATCGTATCCATAATATATAAATAATTGCATAACATTTTATAATCTAATTTAAAATCATGTAGTAAAAATTAAAAGTAAAACTCTCAAGGATTTGTCCCATTGCCTGGAGGGCTATGAGAATGGGAGACAGGAGGAAGAAATGCAGCCAGGGAACAGTCAGACAAGAATTATGTTAGCCACAGAAAGAATAAGGGTGGAGGAAGCATTTCAGGATGGACCCTTCTTTGTTCTTTGGAAAGCAAAGGCAAGGGAGGGGACAGACCACTTGCCATGCTTTTTTAATTTATATGGGGTTGGGTTTTGGGGGGAAGGGGTAACTTTGTTTAGTGTTTTGAGCTGTTTAGAGTCATTGATAATTGGGCATCATCATCACTATTACCACACCTCTTCTTCTTCCTCCTCCTCATAATCCTCCTCATAATCATATTTCCCTGGAGTGAATGTCTCCAATTTTCATCTCCATCTGTTTATAATAATCTTGGATTGTGATTATTCCTCAGAACAAAATGGAACTATTCCTTGGCTATTACTATAACTTCATTCAAATAAAGCAAAATGTAAATATAGCAAAGAGAAAAAAATGGTAACCTATATGACCCTTCAAAATACTGTAAATGCTTTCAAGACAGGCTTAGGCTTTATTGCTATTTTTTATAGGAATTATATTTCGGCTCTCTGAAATTCCCACTGCATAGAAGGAAAATGGAGAAATAAAATCATGGATTGTCACACCGCACTTACTCTCATGCCTTCAAATCTGGATAAAGCCCGAAGTGGCCTCAATGCTCGGAGTGTCCTCAGGGATTTAATAGCTCCTAGTTCGGAATAGCCTAACCAGTTTGCTGTTAAACTAATTAGAGAGACCTGATTAAAAAGAAAAATGAAATGGTTAGTAGTAGCAAATGATAGAATCACAGAAGAAGGAATATAGTTCCATATCTTGCACATAGTAGCATCTGGTCAGATTTCTTGAAGCCCCTGAGCTGTATGCTGCTTTAATATAACCATGATACAAACATGTCCTGACAATATATATGTTTTCTGCCATTTTCCCATTATGTTGCTTTTATCTTGGGCCCAGCTCATAACAGAAACAATTATCTTTAGCTGTACCAGTGTTAAAATATTGCATTGCTTTAAGCAGACAACATCCAGTGTTACAAGACTATGTACAGTTTGCCACCCATTAACACGGATGGATGGAGAGTCAGTAATCAGGAGTAGATTCTTTCAGAAGAATGCTTAGAAGCTGGTTCAGATTCATCCATACACATCGCCTCCCTTCCAGCTTAGCTATGTCTGCAATTTTTCTGTTGTCTCCCTTAATAGCTGGGGGGAAAACGGTATTGAACTAGTCTTTCAGTTCTGTGAAAGAACAAAAAAGCTATATATTTTTAGCATTCTATTGGTTATTCTGTTCCACCATATGGGGTTTTGCAATAAAACCCAGGCCATCTCTGCTGAAGTCCAATGATTAGTGGAAGATTTCCTACCAGCTGATAAGATCCTAAAGAAGATGGCAAAGCCGGTAGAATTAAATAAGTGATTGGCTGTTGATATGCTGAAAACCATAAACAAAACAACAGCATTCAGCAGCTGTTCAGAACAGATTCAATTGAGGGAGTATACGGATCATCAATAGAAACATCAAATTACAAGGTAGTTTTCTGCCAGTGGTGAGTCAATGGCATTTTAATTTGGCTATGGGGAAAGAATCTGGTTCCTGAATTCATGTCAAGTTATATATTTAACAGAAGGAAACTGGTTTCTCATATTTTGAGGGCTAAAATTTGAAACGGAAGCTAACAAAATCATCACATGATTAATCAAATTTAATGCAAGACCAAAGGAATCTTGGGGAATCTTTCTCGGGACTGCTTACTTCCAGAAAGCTGCAACTTACATCAACAATGAGGAAGTCCAGCCAGCACCAAGCATTGGTGAAGTAGACCTTGAACCCATAGGCTACCCATTTGAGCAGCATCTCAATAACAAAAACATATGTGAAGACCTTATCAGCATACTCCAAGATGGTGCGAATAGTATGTCTGCGTTCTATGTAGATATCTTCAAAAGCCTGAAAGGGGAATTAAGGCAGAGCAGTGTATGAGACCTCTTGACAATAGATAAAAGTAGCAAAAGCAGCTACAGCATGACTGGCCTTTACTCTTCTGGGCATAACTTTGTATTAATGAACAGGAGTTGTAATAAATATACACAAGGATTTGGCCATTGTAAAGATTGGTGTGTAAATATGTAGAACATACCTGGGAATCCCATTTTTTTAAGTTTAATACTTAAGTTTGCAATGAATGTTTTGAAAGTGAATGAGTAGAAACCCAACATGGACCTGAGATGACAGGAGGAAGACAATGGGGATACATTCAGTTATGTCTACTAAGTATATGCTTTGAGACTTGTTGTTCCACAATGTTATGTTCACTTGCCTACATCATTATTTAGATTACTGGTGGTGGGATTTCAAGGTTTCAGCAGAAAACATCAGTATTAAAAGCTTAACACTAAATTTTGATCTAGATAATATTTTAACCGTATCATTGCCCTGAGTTTTTTTATGTACATTGTGCTGTCCAGACAGTTCATAGGTAATGGGAATTGAGATAGTTAGTTAGGAATTGAGAGCTGTCCCCTTAAGGGAATTCATCATGGTAAATGTAGTTAAGGCATCCTGGGAAATGTAGTCCATGTCATGTGGTCACATCTGTAATCCTGATTGGTCACTGAATTGACCCTTGGTGGGTTGGGGGAGGTTCCTTCATTCTTGCCTGGACCCCAGCAGCATGCCGCTGCCTCACCCCCTTTGCTCCACCATTATCGGAATGAAAGGAGAACTATCCTTTTAGTGTTCTGGACCTTACAACCATTAGCTGATTATAAAGCAGACAGATAACTCCACAAAGCATCCATACAAAGTCTTTTATTGGTTCATCAGGCATCCTTTTACACCAGAAAGTCAGCTATGCAAAGAGTTGGACATTGAGATGAATCTTGACATGACCATGAGTTATCTTGAGGATGCCTGATGAAACAATAAAAAGACTTTGTATGGATGCTTTGTGGAGTTCTCTGTCTGCTTTATAATCAGCTAATGGTTGTAAGGTCCAGAACACTCTCCCTCTTTTCAAGTGTAATGTAGAGAGTAATCGGCTCTTGTTCTCATGCACTGCATCATTGTATAGCTATTTTAATTCTTGTAAGCTATTTTAAGTGATGGCACTTCGCTAGAATAAATAGTTTATTTATTCTGGGAACATAGAGGCACTGGACCTATCTGGGGGAAGCACCAAACCCGGAGTGGGACTGGCCAAGATAAATAACTGAGAAATCAACCTTAACTCTATTTGTAGCTTGAGTTGAGAGAGCAATGACTAGACTGCACTGAAACTGCCTTTCTGGAAGAGACTGGATCACCAATATGATCATAAACATAATCTGCTGAATCCAACTGACTTGAGTTATTATTCCTCAAACTGAATACATAATGGTACCTAAGAAATCTAGCAAACTAGGAAGATTAGCATATATTCTTAGAAGCATATTACAAGAGCAATTTAAGATCAATCTCATTCTAACTTGTATTATTGTAGGGGAAAATGTACTGCAAAGGAGAAACACTCACCAGGGCACCACTGCTGAGGAGAATCATGAAGATAATGAAAGTCTCAAACCAATTGTGTTCCACAATTTTGAAACATGTTTTCCGAAGATTCCACCACTTTGCTCCCTTTTCTGTTTTGATATCAACATAAAGGCAAGGACACCTTTGAATACAGGCTGCAAAGGAAGAAAGAGTGAGTCAGTTAACACTGTAGCTGCTCTACCTTGTTTTAAAACTATGCTATGAACTTGAAATGTTCATTCACTGCAAATTACATAGACATTTTGTTATTTCCTCATATGCTCTTAATGCTAACCACACAATCTGGGACCCCCTTATCATAGCACAAAGGAAATAATATAGTAGGGTAGGATAGGATAGGGTAGAATACTTTATTGCCAAGTGCGACACACGAGGAATTTGTCTCCAGTGCAGAAGCATATAAAAAAAAAGTAATATAATCCTAAAGTACCAATAGGAGAAGATAGTTGAAAAGATGAGGATAATGATAATTATCCTTAATAAATAACTGATTGTGTCTTAATTATATATTTATATATAAATTAAATTATATAAAATTATGTTTAGCATTATGTACATGTTGGAGCTCTCTTTTTCTTATGTGCTGGAAGAGAATACTTGAAAATCAGAGAAGAGTCACCTTGCTACAAGATGGGTGACAAACAAATTTTAAATAAATAAATAGGAATAATAGGGATGGACATGACCTCAGAGCTCCTCTGTTCAACCCTCTGTTCATGTTAGTCAGGGTCTATGGCCGTTTTCACCCTCCCGGGGGCTCGAGGAAAGCCTCCAGAGCCCGGATAGGCAAAAATGTACCACCATCCCCTGCCGTGTTGCAGAAGGCTGACTAGGCCATGCCTACCTTGGCCACACCCACCCAGAAACCAGGCAGAGAACCAGTTGCTAAAATTTTTGAAGCCCACCCCTGTGCATAGGAGATGTACCACTTGGTTTTCTTTGGTTTCCTGACTTGATAGATCTATGTCCTCTTTATCTGTACTTCCCACAGTTAAGGCAAACTGTGATTTAAAAAAATCTAAATGTAGAATCCTGGTTTCCTGGTTTGTTGGTCTATCTCACTGGTGTGAAATTCGTCATGTTGCCATCACATGACATATCACACACTGTTTTTTTTCTGTTGGCAAAGCTGAGGTGGGCATGGCCTGCGCGTGATGCATCTGGCCCACAGGCCTCTAGTTTGACACCCCTGGTCTACCTGAACATACACTAGGCAAATGTCCCTTTTATTTATAGATATGCACAACATTTCTTTGGACTTATCAAGCAAGAGATCCTTACCTGACCATCCTGCCAAGATGACAAGCAAGAGTAGCATAGGAACATAAATCATAAAAATATGAAAACCCACAGTGATAACCCAAGCCTTGTCTTATCCTGCATTCTGTTTCTAAGAAGACTGGGTAGTCACTTGTCCGAAATGGCACAGGAGCAGGGGTTGGACCAGAAGACCCCCAAGATCCCTTCAAGTTGTATTCTGATTGATTGATAGAGAACTTGATATCTATGAGAAGGTCACCCCACTTTGCCTCCCCAGTGACTGGATGGCTGAATGTTTAACCATTGTTATTAACAAATATAGATAAATAAACCTGCCTTACGTGAAGTTGGCTAGCCCTTTTAATGCTGCTTGTTTGCTACATTTTATGTTGTAGGATTTCATTGTTAATTATTTACTATGTTTCATATATATATATGGGGTGGATTTATTCTTCCCTCCACCATTTGCAGAGACATTCCCGAAAATAAGACCATTGATATTATATAG